TTGTGCCACCTCCCGATGGGTCACGAATGCCTGCGCGCCCTGTTCCGAAGATGTACTCACGAGGAACTGAGGGATTTGGCCAAGACACTGCAGCGGGACCACCCCGTTGCCCGGAAACTCGATCATGAGGTCCATCGCCGTCGCATGGCTGGTGAGTCTTATGGCTTTCATTTTTTTTTTCGGGTGTGGGTCCCTTTTCCTTATACCTTTTTTCCCTTGATTCATAGACGTGTTCCCGGGGATTGATTTTCTACGAGACGTGCTGTGGCCTGTCCACCTGTGTCTTTGCCCTCGACGAGCTAGACTCAATTGGGCCGCGCGGTTCTGGGTTCCAACCTGTTCGTGTTGATTTTTTTTTTTTGATAGATTCTTGGGATTTTGTGGAGAATCAGCCTGTGTGTCATATTTATCAGTGGGTCGCTCATTCCACCCCTGGCGGAGTCTGTAACCACTGTGAGAGAATGATGGATGGTTTGCGGTTAGATGATGTCATTTCCGGCAACAGGGCGGGATCGTTAACCGAAGATGAGATAGTGGAGTTTGTGCAGAATGGGGACCCCAACTATCGGGACTGGGACGATTGGCCCCTACGTATGACCTTCCGGATCAATTCGTTTCTCCGGGCCCAGGGTGCCGTGGGTGAATCGGAGTTAGCCCTGTTAGGGTTTTTAGATGATTAATTTTAGTTCATTTTTTACATTGCCTGTTACGTCATCACACGCAATGGATCCGCCCTTTGCAATCCGGTTTCTTTCGTACCAGTATTCCCATCTTGATTCGACTTTCCACCTCTTTGTAGGCTTTCATTATACTTTAAAACAGTATGGAGGATGGATTAGACCCATTCAATTGCGATGTCATTATAGTACTGTTAGATGTGTAATCAGTCTTCATGAAACGTTTCAGATGTAAATGCCATGATTGAACAATATGAGAACAACCGCTGGATCCGAGACCGCATTGCTTACTTACTCATGGGCTTACAACATTATCATTATTAATTTTTTCGTAGATTCGCATACCATTCTCAGCACCCACAGGGTTCACGGTACCTCCGCTGCATGGTGTTTCCTCGGCAGTATCGTGCAGTGGTACACTGGATCAGGGGTCCCTCTTCCATTTCCGAGACCAATCAAATGACTCTGTTGTCGTTGTTATTTGAACTTTCGTCTTGCCAGCGACTTACACGTGCCCTGTTATTGGTGCGAGATGTTGCAAGGCATGGGCTACCCACCCCGTCCTTAAAAAAAAACTTATGTTTTTTTTCCTTTTTTCAGATTCTCGTTTTGTCATACGAGCCATTTATCTCCCTTTCCTTTTTCAGCCATTACCCAGGTGATGGACCAACACACGAGGTCCCTCCAAAATCTGACTGGGAGATTGTATTTTGTCTGTAAACGTTGTTGGATTTATTTACGTCACGTGTCCACCCTCCATGAACCCTGTCGGGGCTGTGCGATGATGGACAGCATGGATTGGGAATTCTGAACACCCGGCAGGGGGAGGTCTGCATGGTGGCGCCACCCCTGCTGGATGTTCATNAACGTTTCAGATGTAAATGCCATGATTGAACAATATGAGAACAACCGCTGGATCCGAGACCGCATTGCTTACTTACTCATGGGCTTACAACATTATCATTATTAATTTTTTCGTAGATTCGCATACCATTCTCAGCACCCACAGGGTTCACGGTACCTCCGCTGCATGGTGTTTCCTCGGCAGTATCGTGCAGTGGTACACTGGATCAGGGGTCCCTCTTCCATTTCCGAGACCAATCAAATGACTCTGTTGTCGTTGTTATTTGAACTTTCGTCTTGCCAGCGACTTACACGTGCCCTGTTATTGGTGCGAGATGTTGCAAGGCATGGGCTACCCACCCCGTCCTTAAAAAAAAACTTATGTTTTTTTTCCTTTTTTCAGATTCTCGTTTTGTCATACGAGCCATTTATCTCCCTTTCCTTTTTCAGCCATTACCCAGGTGATGGACCAACACACGAGGTCCCTCCAAAATCTGACTGGGAGATTGTATTTTGTCTGTAAACGTTGTTGGATTTATTTACGTCACGTGTCCACCCTCCATGAACCCTGTCGGGGCTGTGCGATGATGGACAGCATGGATTGGGAATTCTGAACACCCGGCAGGGGGAGGTCTGCATGGTGGCGCCACCCCTGCTGGATGTTCATTCTCATTTTTTTCACTCCATTAGATTCCCATTGGATTATCCAACGGGTGATGATTTTCAAAAGCTGGCCCATCCCTCACAAACTTTGTATCGTCAATCATCAAGGATGGTCCAGCTTACTCCATCTTTTCAAACTAAGACGTTAATTTTTTCCCAGAAACGCATTGGATCCTAGACCATTTCGACTTTAACCAAGACTGGATTTTAATAGAATTGTTTTGTGTACAATCCTTCAAGGGCGTGACACCACGAGGGCGTCACACACGTCCCGTTTGTAATTAAGTCTTTTTTGTCTTCTAGTCAATCATTGGACAATAAACCACCGCCTCGTGCGTGGCAATGGTCGACTTTTTCTCATTCAGTTTGCTTCTTGGCTCTAACCACCCTCCTTCTGATTCGTTTCAGCCACCCATTCCAATTTACGTTTCCATTTAATCAAACCGTGGTCATTCACAGGATTCAACCACTACATTCCATGGCCTCATCCATTGCTCATGACTCCTTCAGCCAAGAGGCAAACACCATTTCTTATATTTACCTATTAATGTCAAGGGCGTGACGTCATTAGGACGTCACACACGTCCCGGATGTAACTTAGGGCACTCTCGAGATTTGTTTTGCATTAAATGATGTGGATGGATGATCTTGACCTCCATACAGTGTGTTTTTCATTGACTTCCGGTAATGCGAGGGGTCTGGGGCCTCGTTTGAGTGTTTGCGCATGCGCAGTAGGTCTAGGCGGAAATAGGCTCACATGAATGCGGGGGACCTGGGGAGTAGTTTGGCGGTCTGCGCATGCACCTATGATCCCATTCACGTGACTGCGCAGGGCAAAAGCATGGGGCCGAACTACGCATGCGTCCTTCCACCACGCACGTAGGGTCTTCCTATGAATGCGTCTGTTCTTTACCCCATGCCAGGGAGCTGCGCGCTGATTGGTCGAGAGAGGTCACGTGAATTTCTATGACCATATATGGGCATTGTGACGTCAACATGGTCACCTGACCTCTATGCTTGATTCTGATTGGTTCCCCAACATTTTGCTGCGCTCTGATTGGTTAGGAACCCATTGTAGCCTGCATTACTACTAACATGTCGGGCGAAGGGCAATGAGAGGGTAAAGAGGTCGAGAGCATTTCTGAATATTGAAGCGAGATGAGTCGGCGCTCACCTGGGAAAAGGAAATCGCTCGACTCTTTGACAACCCGTGAAATCAGTTTAACTCGAAGTTATCGTAACCTCAGTGCTTTAACAAAATGAGAAATTTCGCCGGTCTATTGAAACCGGTCGTTTGTACAATAAAGCAAGTAGCAAGTAAAATTCATGTACATGTAATTAGTTTTACAAATTTGAATTTTATTGTAGTTTTTTAAGTTGTTAAGCGCTGTTGATCAGTGAATGGAAATAGAAGTCATTAAATTGTCATTATTATTATTATAGGACGCCAAGTGTTATTTTTGTTGAATAATAAAAGACTAATGAAAGAATAAATATCAAACCAGAAATTGCTCTCTTTGAACTGTAAATTATGAATGATCTTGAGAGAATATTCAGTGTGTTAAGGATTTCCCTGCTGTACTGTTAGCTCTATGCAAGAGAGAGAGGGCGATTCTTTTTTAAGTTTCGTTTCGCTGACACAGCTTTAGCAGAAATCTCTCGTTTTCGTCAACAAAACGAATAGCAATATCACTCTCCGCGTCTTCCGCCATTTTTTTCGGCCGCAATTCGTGAAGGACACGTGGCTCTGAGCGTGGGTCATCCACGCGGAACACATTCGCGCTATGTGATTGGCTGTTGTCCAATCCCCCTTGGGATCTGTGGTCTTAAAAATAACTCGAGACGAATTAGCTATGGAATAGGGTGTGTACGGAAGATGCCTTCTCTGACCCCTTTATCCTCTCTTGGGTTTGAAGCATAAGATTACCACATCTTCTTAACTCAAGTCAGCTGAAAGAACATTGTTCTCACAAGTTGACAAAGGGTTGCTTACTTTTGTTGCTGTCTCTGCAATTGTTATTAGTGAACTTACGCTACAGGACGGGAGAGGAAAGAAGACTGCAAACGTTGTCTAACTAGCGTGACAATAATCAGTTTTGTTTGAAACCAATTTACCTCAAACCTCATCCTCCTTTAAACAGATCTTTTTGTAAAACACCAGAAAACATTTACATTTGGTGAAGACCACGACAGAACATGCAAATAATGGCCCTGTCACGTTTGTCACACGCAATCGTTTTGCCGGCCTCCTCTTCTGCCTTCCTGTTGCGTAAACTCGCTATTATAGGCGAAACTCTCCGCGCGTGCGAAACGCGCGCGAGGGGAACCCCATTGCTAAGAAAATTTGGTAATCTATCCATCCGAGAAACGAGGACGCTCACTTGTAAACACAAAATCTGGGGAGAAAATTGGTTCTTAAAACGTGCAGGGTATATTTATAGACGATTGATCTCGGGATTGTCAAATTTATAAAAAAAAATTATCGAGCGGTTTTTTAAAAAATGCAAAATTTGTCGGCATGGACTAAATTACGTGCAAAAACTGTAACAAAAGCAGCTGAATGCAAGTTAATAAAATTCTTCTTACTCGCGATCGCCCAGAGCAATTCTCCTCTTTTTTTGTACACAGTTTTCAATGGAATCAAACCACTATGAGATGAAGCCGCGCTTCCAAAGCTTATCATTTTCTTAAAAAATTAGCTAATTGTGTGGATAGCATGCTATTTCACTGTTTTTATGATGCTTAAAACTTCGTTTTAAAATATCTCGAAAACACTCTCATAGAATTTGTTCAAACTTTGCCATAACTGAGGCAATTATGGTAGGTACAAACTCCCTTAAGCGATTTCTTAAAAAAAAAACTCTTGGTACAGGGAAACACAAAGATAAATAAAAAACGTAATGGCGTCGTTACGTTGCCATGGCGACTCCGATTGCAATAAAACCCAGACTCATAAGAAATTTTCATCTTTGTATAATACAGTTCTGTAATTTTTTTCCCATATCTTTACTCATGGCGACGTTGTTAATGCTCAAACGTGGGAGGTATCCCCCCAAAAAAAATTCAGTCGAGCCACCTTAAATTCATGATCATGCGCTAGATCATTTTTTAAGCACTAGAACGTTCTAATTAAAGGGTTTTATTGTAAGCTCTGATAAAATTAAATGTAGTAATGTCATAGTAATGTTATATGAATAACTAAACGTTTTGATACCAAACTACTTACATACTTACTTCTACCGCAAAAGCTGTTTCGTGACAACGTAACCTAAAAATAATCAGGAGGTACGGTCCAAAATTACACAGTATCTTTTAACCGCTTGAACTTTACGAGTGTGTCTTTTTAAAGCTAGGACCTTTGATTCGATTATACTTGCTGATTATTTTTATATTTTTAGCTGTTTTACGATGACTGGGAGTGATTTCTCGTGCGCTGTTTTGTCGAGAGCTTTGGGCTGTGACTCTATATGCATATACAGTGTAGACTATTTAATTAACCTTTTTCAGGCTTCTATCAGCTATTTGTGTTATTTGTTAATAGCTTATTGTCACCTTGTAAAGACAGGTATACTTTTACTACTGCGTAATTTTTCAACATTATTTGGCTACCGTTGACTTCTATTTTGTCAATACAATACAACACAATGAAACACAATAAACTTTATTTTACCTCGAAATTAGGATGGCAAATGTAACATGCTAATATCTCCGAGAGAAAAGGAAAGGAAAATAATAATAATAATAATAATAATAAAACTAGTCCAATGACAATAATCATTATTACCAAAAACCTATTATTAATTTATAATTCTAAGAACTTATTCTAATTTAAAAAAGGAACAGCGGTCAGTGAAGAAGTCCAGACCCCTGCTGGCGGATTTAAAGCTTTGAATTGTGGGCGAAGCCCTGATGGAATTAGTTGATTAATCTAAAGCTTACCAGCACTATATATCAGAGAATGTAAACCATATTTAACTTTGTCAAATTAATCTCAACACCATACATGAAGTTTCTTTGGAGCTAACCTCGGCCTATTGCCTATTCTTAATCACAGAAATCGACTCCTCTCCAGTGAGTACCGGGGAAAGTTTACAGAGGACTGACACATGCATACACAGAAGTCCGACGCACCGAATGATCAAGGTAATTTCTAGTACGGGCGGTGTTGTCACTGAGAAGAATATCAAACTGGTTTTCCCTCCTGGAGCAGTAGATTATCCTGAGTCTGTAAGCATTTCGTTAGAGGATCCTTCCAGATACTATGGCCTTATTGTTCAAAACAGTCTTGAAAATGACGTCATATTTGGTGCACCTGTCATTCGCCTTCAACCGGACGGTCTCTTGTTCAAGAAGCCTGTCACACTGACGGCGAAATTTGAAATAGGCGATTTTGCTTGCAATGATATTGTTATTTTGAATGGAAGGGAGGAACGCGGTGGAATGATCACCTGGGAAGATGTCACTCCTAACTCGGTGGCCACGACGCTTGATAAGCCAAATGCTAAAGTGCAGATTGAAATGGAACATTTCTCTCTCACTGCTATCTTATTAACTGTGGTGAGATTCACTCAGCTTCACTTGCTAACTAGGTTTAACTTAATGTCATTCCACTACACCTTATCAGTGTGGCTTAACGACAAGTCTCCAAAAAGCGACGAGCTTGCCTTGTTGTTCGTGAGCCAAGATGTCTACCATGAACAGTTCTATGAGGAGCAAGAAACCCGGCTATGAAGGAGTTAAGGAATAAGGGGTTTCGAAAGCTGCATGTACGTCATGTAAATGGACATCAAGAAACTGGCATCTACAACAATGAAAGTCTTCATATATCAGTCTGCCTTGGGGAAGACTATAACTTGGCTGGCAGACAGCATGAAATAACCAGTGATTTCAAGGTAGATTCTTATATCTGGTGGAACACAGGTTATGCCGTTACACTTTCCCTGGAAAGAAGTATGAAAGATGTTAGGATTGCTTGTGGAACAATCACTGTTAAGGGGGCGTTTGGCCACATTAGTGAGAGGAAATTCTGCGAAGTTGGTAGGTTAAACGAGATTACTTTTTTTTTCTTTTTTCTACGTTACTTCGTCCTCCAAAAGAACGTTTCTGAGGTTACCCTTTGTAGTGCATGTTCAGAAATCTGGCGTTCTGGCGCTCCTTAATTGGCTCTCCCCAATTCTTCCTCACCTATCAAACGCCTGCCAAGAAGGTTGCCAATGTCTCAAGTGAGGCCATGTGGCGGGGCCACCGCTGATATGTGAATTTTACCAAAGTTATTTTTAGACCAATTAAATGCTTGAAATTAACCGGAAGTTGGTTTCTGGAGAGGTCCACAAACTTTTCTTCAGTTGTGTTGGAAGAGAATAACGGGATGTGCTCTTTTGGTGTATTGCAATTACAATATCTCCATTGTTTGCTTTGAGGCGGTAGCGCTTTGACTTTGCTTCCCAGGAATTAAACTTTCTCTAAACATATCTCCAATGAAATTCACATGTCCCGGGGAACACCATAAGATTCCCTCTCTGTCCGACAATGTTCTCTTGTTTTACCTGTAATACATAAATATGGGTAATTCGGATGACCCGTTTCCGCTGCTGATGTCTAACAAGCATAAGTGAAATCCTCACAGATCTTTGCGGCTACGTAAGAAACCTTTTAAAGGTGCATGGAGACATTTTTAACACTGTACCGATTGCACGCGTGCTTGAGATGCCAGAGGAGTTGATCAACCAAGTTGTGATGTCTTGGAGAGGGGAGGACGAACAACTGAAGATGATATTGCAACAAAGGTTGAGGGAGAACTATATGGCAGAAGACCTAACTTCACTCAGTAAAGACCTCGAGTGCTGGAAAAAGACAAAGCAAGGTTAGTCTTTATAATAGCGCTTGATCCGGCATAAAGGAATTTTGTGAGGCGGCTACAGTTTGGTGGCCACGTATATGGTTTCCTTCACGATCGCAAGAATCATGTTGAACCCATAACCTAGGAGATGGTCGCATAAAAAATGACTAAGACGGAATCCATCAGGAAATTGAGTAATTTCAATTTTCAGTGGACAAAAGCCTTCACCTTGTAGCATAATATTTTAACAATATCGCATTCTTTTTTACATTTCTCAAGGGCTATAGATACAATTAGTTAGCTGTAATAACACCAAAGACTATTTCTCATGAAAGACCGAGAAAATAAGTGTCAAGTTTCACAAGAATTGTGAAAACAGAGGTAAAATTCGGAAACTTCATGTGCAAGGTGTCATTTTGTGAAATTTGGAATTTATTTTCTCGGCATCTCATAAGAAATTTTCTTTGGTGTTATTACATATAACTAGTTACATCTACAGCCCTTAAAAAATGTGAAAAAGAGTGCGATATTGTTTAAATTATTCTAGTACAAGGTTTTTGTCCGCTGAAAATTAAAATTACTCACTTTCCTGATGTATTCCGTCTTAATTCCATTTCGTAATGTCAGTGGAAAGTAAAACATCCTTATTAGAAAACGACTTTTACAAGGCTCTGTGGGCGGGGTGACTAAGGAAAGGATACGTTCTCTTTCCCTTGCCCTTCACCACCCCCTCGTCTGCGAGTCTAAGGAGCATTCTGGTAGGCTTTTTAAATCCTTTGGGAAAGAACAGGGTACTCCGAATTTCGAGTGAGAGGGATAGTCAAAAGATTTTGAGGTGGCTTGAAAATTTTAATTCCGGCAATAAGGTCCAGTTCAAACGTCGAACTTTTCATGTACCGAACTTAATACCTGTTTGGGTCGACCCAAATAATAAAGATTGACGCTTGATTCAGACGTCGAGCTTTACATGTTCCGAACCTAATTCGTGGAGTAAACAAATATTATTTTTTTCGCTTACAATAAGAAGTTAATCGACGAAAGTGGTTTTCAGTGACTCGGATTCCTTCTATTTCGATTCAGTAGGAATAGTAGACAAAGGTTTAGGATTTAGCTTTCGAATTAGTTACCAAGTATGAAAATCTTGCGTGTAGCGGGTTTCCTTCTCTATTGGTCTGTTATGTTCAGCTAAATTGTACTTCCATTGAAACACAACAATAGAGTACCAGTTTTGTGCGGAAATAGGCGCTTAAAAGCAAGTTGTATAAACCGTTTTATGCTGCCCAGAGTCAGTTTAAATTCCACAGCAAGAACGCTGCTAAGGGAAGGTCAACGGTCGTCACGCTTCTGTGAGTTTTGTCCGCTCACGGGGTGAAATAGCAAATCATAAGTTAACATAATTTATGCATTAGGTTCGGCCAGGCACACGAAAAGTTCGACGTTTCAAACGAAGTCGCTCCACAGTCGAAATTCCCACGTAGACCAGTCCAACGGGGTCTTGGGTCGACCCAAATTAGATATGTCGAACTTAATTCAGATTCGATCGTCGATATTTTCATGTACTTAATTGAAAGAATTAGCTTCGGTACATGAAAAGTTCGACGTTTGAACTGGGTTTAAGTGTGCCCGTGTATCCCGACCACCTATTTATGCGAACATGATACACCCAAACTGCTTTAATACTGATAAAACGCATTATAGAATGGTTCCCAGGGTTAACCCAACAATACTTGAATTCGTCCAATAAATGTCCCAATCGTCATGCTTATCGCCCAAATTTATTGTCATTGCAACTTTCTCTTGACCACATTTTTTAGAGAAGATAAGATGACTTCAGATAGTGTGGAAACTTGTTTTATGCTCTTGCGTTGCAATTAATTAAAAGATAGGCCCCTTCCACACGTATCCGTTTTTATTTGAAAATGGACATTTATTTTCTCTGTTCTCTGAAAAGTCCGCTCCTGCACAGTGAGTTGTTTATTTTTTATTTGCCCGTCCGCACGAAAAAGCAAAAGTTACTGGTATCTGAGTCCATGACGTCATCGTTTTCAAAACCTCCGTTTTCCATTTACAGTGGAACCTTGATATAATGAACCCCTATTGAACGAAGTCTTCGGTTTATTACGAACGATTTTCTTTACCCCAGGAATAGTAAAATGTATGAGAAAGAACCTCAATATAACGAAACATCGTTATAACGAACTAATTTTGCTAGCTAGTCCCTTGGCTCTTCGTTATATTGAGGTTCCTCTGTACACGGGTAAAGCAGAGCGGCGTTTTCGGAGGACGGGCTCTTAATGACAAGACAAACTGCAAGAATTGTGAGATATAAAAGCATCGCTGTACCCTTTTGAAAGTTGACTTTGTGATTCCATTATATTTTTCACTATTACTAGGTTCAACTTACAACGTAACACAGCGGGGGCAGATGCATGTCAGACACTTGAGAGAATATGCAGCTAAGATCTCGGGCTTGCAACGCGCAGATGCCAACTTAATGAAGTATTTTGCCTGTCAGATCCAAACTCTTTGCGACACACTGTTAAGGGACTGTTGCATTGAATTGGAAACTTCTACAGATGGTGTGGAAAGAACAGCTTCATCCAGCAGCTATGTACACTATATGGAAATTCATCGACCTGTGCCAAAAGACCTTAAAGAGAAACATCCAGAGGTGTTCCCTTCACCAGATGAGTCTGTCAAAGCGTTTTTGGCCATTGTTCCTAACCTCATTCAAATCACCAAAGAAATATTCGTTGAGGAGGAGGTTTCACAGGTACAAAATGGCTTAAGGGGCCTCCCTAAAGAAACAGTAGACCAGTTTAGTTCAAGTATTCAAAATCCTGAGCCGAGAAAAAACAAAGTCTTGCATCTTTTTTATGACGTAAGCAGAATTTTGGAGCGGTTGTGTCTGAGAAATTTGGAACAGCCATCACAAAAAATAAAGAATTGGGGTAGAAACCTGGCAGTACTCAACATGCTGGAGGCATTAAAACCCTTTTTCAAACACTGCAAGCAAGACGTGAGGTTACACAAGCGATTAGAGCTCTTTTCTGGATGCCTGAGAGACGTTATATCTGATCAGGTTGACCCTACTGATCAAGTCATATTTCGAGATTTTTGCAACGTTTCACTGAGTCTTGTAAATTTCGCAAAGTTTGATCCTTCAAAACTGGTGAAATTTGAACTCAATAACTCAGCAAATGTTGCAATGACTTTTTACAGTGAGGGTGTTGAATACGATAGCTCACTGGACACATTTTCTCAGAGTTTTCAATTGAAGAAAAAACCTGGAGATGAACTACAGCTTTGTGTCGTTGCATGTGTACACATCGATGGACAAATTAGCAAGAAAGGAGCATTTCAATCAGTCATCGTCATTAACCCTTCCGGTGAGGAAGTTCTAAATAGATGCATGATTCATTTTATTGACGTAGCTGCAATAAAGCTGGAAGAGCAAGCATCGGACTTTCTACAAGTGTGTCTTTGTTCGACAAAGAAGCAGAAACTATTGGAGGCTCTTGACGACCTCAAGAAAAAGCTAGGTACAGATTTCGTGGAAACGAGACAAGAAGTAAGCAAGTCCCACCTTCAAATACGCACTGTCAACACGGTAGAAACGATTGTAAGCCTCCGTCTGGTTTACAAATGGGGATCTGAGGCAGTTTCCCTCGACAGCAAGGACTTCTTTACGTTGGCCGACTCGTCAGCTGGTGGAACATGCATACCAGAAGTTCGCCTTGTTGGTAAGAATAAGTTATTTGACTGCATTATGTCAATGACTTTACCTAATGTTTCCGCATCATTTAAAAAGATTTTATCCGTTTTAATCAGTTATTCTTACTATAACGATTATTATTAATACATTTTTACCTTTTTTATTTTGTAGGTGTAGATGATTCACAGATGCCTGAAAATGTTGGCGCTCTGTCATTGGCTTCCGCTGATAAAACATTTCCATTGGCTAGTTTTGATCAGCTACAGAAGCATGGGCAAATACAGTGTGAAAAACTCGGTAACAGTGTATTTTCCTCCTGTATATTTTTCACAGATAATACAGTAAACACCCTCGTAAAAGAAACCGTAAATTAAGATACTCACATCTGATATTTGGCCAATAAAGCACCTAACATGTAAGAACTAATTCAGCCAGACAAATGAGCCAGGATCTTATAACATTAGACGAATACAATGTGTAGTTTCAGAAAATCTTGATCCATTCCTCCGTCACAGAATAGTCGGGGTCACTACAGTGATTTGATAGTTTAAGGCCGGTCACAATCAATCTCACAATAACTAGAAAATGTGAGTAGACACTGTACAACATTTCCAGAAGCAATTTTAATAACCTCGTAAGAACCTCCTCTGGTTGATTACTCGTTTCATGCAGGTGTCAGGATATATATTTGTAGATTTTCGACCGCGACACTGACGTGCCTCGCTAAGGCAACTGCTCGCTAAGCAAATAGAAATTTGCTATTATTAGTGTCCTTGGAGCCAAGGGCACTGATGGCTCATGACACAGCGGAATTTTTTTTTTCTTGTTATTTATCTTTTCTCAGAATATCACCTGCATCAAACCTTTAACCAAATGTCTGGCCATGTTTGCGTCGCAGGAGACAGGGCAACCGTCAACGAGCAGATGCCAAGTCAATGGTACATATTATGTTCAATTTTATTGGTAAATTTATGGTCGTCCTATCAGGTAATCTGTTTTGTTTTGCCAACAAGTTGATGCACTTTTGGAACCAACGTAAGTCAAAATGTTATATTCCTAGACTTTCACTCAACTAAACAGGGACTGCCATTGGTTGATTCTTGGTCACGTGGCCTTGACTAAAATCAATGTATCCCGATCGTGATACATTAAGCAACGTACCCTGCTAGGGCTACATTACAGCACGTGATCAAAGCATGGTGGAAAACGGCGTGACAAAAGGCGGGAAAAACACTGCCAGGTTCTGCCAGTTTTCTTTTTCGTGAATGAACACAACAACACAAATACGAAGCCTCAAGCTAAAAAGCAACGATTTTTAAAGTTATCCAAGAAGTTCCCAGAAGAAAAACAGCAGCTAGTGGAGGAAAATGATGCAGATAATATAAGGAAGGTACTTTGTAAATCATTGATTCAGTGGTTTGAGAATTAAATTTGTGTTGTTATAAGTACCGAGTCGACTGTCTTGGTTCGCTCCGGTTATTCCTTTGTTGCTGTTGAAATGAATTCTTGAAATATAACAAAACACTTAATGTCAGGTCCCTCGGGAAGCAAGTTAGTTTTGTTTTCCCTCGAGTCCTGATGTTCGTCTCGGGAAACATCAGGACTCTCGGGAAAACAAAACTAACTATTTCGCTCGGGATCTGACATTAAGTGCCTTTTTCCATCAGTCTCGATTCCCTCCTTTAGAAACGAGAAGCAGCCGAAATGTGTCCCGCAATTGTGTCTGAGATCGTTACTGGGGACCCGTCAGCTATTAGACAATAATTCCCCTGTCCCTAGTAACAGTCCCAGAAGTCTGTGTGAAAGTTAACTCGGCCCGGTTCCCTTGACCTGTTACGGTCAAGAGCCATAACTATGGCTCTTGCACAAACTCATGTGTTTTCTGATTCATTTTAATATATACAAACCGACACTCATATGCACATTAATCATTCACTCTGTTACTATTGACCATGACGCATTATTCTAGTCTGTCAGGTGGAATAGTTCGACAACCCATTTGGGCAAACTCTCTCAGAAAAATGGGATATAGCAAGAGAGGATGAAATATAGTGCTTCCTCAGATCGGTTGTCTGCGTGCTAGACATTTGACGAAAGCCCACAAAAACGGAAAACCAATCACTCGAGTGTTAACATTTATTTAGTGCTGGGTATTTATTTGCCGATTACGTCTCTCTCTAGTGCTATCCAGGAAGGCCCAAGTTCTGCACCCAAGAAATGCATAACTGAAGAAAAAAGATCATGATCCTGAATTTCTTGTGCCTTTTAATAAACCTGTTGCATTATTGGTATTAGTGAAAAGGGAAAAACTATGTGGTTGATAGAAGTATACTCTGTACCAGACGTAGTTAATCGATAAACCGATAATCGGTAATACTTTATAGTAATCGATATCAATCATCGATGAATATCGATTTCCGATATCAATCGAAAGAAATCGATAACGAAAAATTGTGACTTCAATTAATATCGATTTCCGATAGAAATTGATTCTGATTTTTTTATCGATTTTTATTGATTACTATCGACTGTTATCGAGAAAGACTTAAGTCATTATTCGATAGAAGTTCAACATAAACACGATGCCGTTAGTTGATGATACTAAAGGAACAAAACAATAACAGGAACAAATTGCTCTTTGTTTTGATTTTTTAGCATAAGCACAGTTCATAATAAGGAGAGAAAGATTAATGCGAAAGTAGGAGAAAAGAACTCATTGTCGCTAGGTATCTAATCCATAAACATGGAGCACAGTAAAGAAGAACATCAGAATTCTTATGATTTCAATGAATCACATTAAGAAAAAACTACGTATGAATTGAATGGACATGTAAAGATCTATTAAACCAAAACTGCAGGAAAGGAAAAAACAAAAAAATGGAATATGGTGAAGACTGCGCCTGGAGTAACTGCTGAAGTCATTAAAAATAAAATGTGTTAATCTAAAGCTGGTCTAATGGGTGTTGCTGGCCAAAAAGCATCGTCCTGTTCAGAGTATATTAACGTCAAGATTATTGCTGGTTATCGATTACTATCGATTCCTATCAATTGTTATCGATTTTGTTAATCGATAATAATCGATAAATTATTTTTTCTGTGACTTCGACTTCTATCGATTTCCGTTAACAATCGATATTAATCAGCGGATTAAATCGATTAATACTGATGATATCGATTGGTTTCCGATATCAATGTTTATCGATTAACTTCGTCGGATTGTTTTAGTAAAGGTCTCGTTTTCATACAATACAATATTTCCTTCTAGTATAAGCACGGGGGGGGGGGTACTCCCTTATTTAAGCCATATAGGTTTGTGCCGCCCCAAAGGGTGTAGGTTTTGCACCTTCTTGGTCTGAATTCGGTTCCCCATTTTGGTCTGGAATCGGGTATGGTTTTCGATGGAACTACGGGAGTGTATGAACTTATTTATCATTTCAATTTCAAATGAGTAAATAAGAGTGAGAAATACGCGAATTCGAAATGGATTTGAAGAATGTTTTTGTTTGCGCTCTTATCTAAGTAATGATGAAAATTTCTGCCTGAATGCCAGGTCTGAAAACGGGTATGGATTTTAGAGGTCTGGTCTGAAAACGGGTGTGGAAGATGACATTTCTGGGTCTGAAATAGGGTCAGGATTTGGGAAACCGGGCGCCTCACCCCCACCCAAAATTCGCTGGAGTACCCCCCCCCCCCTTCCCGGGTGTAAGCAGCCCAGTGAATTCTCCTTTTGTCAGAACTGATCGGGCAGACCCTTACCGTCGTAACGAGAATTTTACTTTTGATCAAAACTATCCAGCCAGATCAGTTAAATCCTGAATAGTATGCACAAAAAAGGTGGTTTTTCAGCAAAAACTCTTAGAAAAAGCCTATTTCAATTTCAAACTGACTGGTCTGGCCGGCCGGTTCCGACAAATGGAAAGCGCTTTAAGTCTCTGGCCTCGTCAGAAATCAGCATCAATTTTCTTCTTGCCGAATAGGTTTGACTCCTACAAACTACTTTTTGAGGCCAGCCTTGTTACTGCCCACATCAAAGCGCGCAATATGATGCCTTTCTGTCTCAAGCCCGAGATCAGTGTTTCACCCTTTTAGCCAAAATGAGACGAGATCGGTAACATAATGGACCCCGGCAGACTTTTCCAATAGTGAAACTTGTTCCTTTAGGTTTAATGATGTCTTCCGGAAAACGTTGCTACAGGCGACCAGAAAGAAACTAGAAAATTAACCGATCACGGAAAACAATTTCTACCGCCCGCGCTGATTTCAAATGAAATAGAGGTTATAACAATGATGGAAATTTTATGCACGCACTAACATCTTTCACAATTGTCTTTGACCATGGATGGATAACGAAAAAGGAGTGGATTGCAACTTGCAAAAGATAGACTAATCTTCTCAACTTTTGTTATTGTGGCTCCGAAAAAAGACCTTAAAATAATAATGGTTTGCATTCCTTCCGAAATTCTCAAAAATCAAGATCTTTTCTGCCAACTTTCGTGCTATGTACTTAGAGAGTTTGCTAATCTGTCCCAAAAGATTGACTCGTCTATCCTGGTATAATCAAGATGATAGAGATGTTTTATTGTCTTCGGTATCTTGTGCCTGTAGGCGTCTTCAATGAGAATAGGGATGTAGCTTTCTCTTTTTTCACCTGTAAAGTAAGGGGCAGTAATCAGTTAGTGTTTCTGTATAAGTGTATTTGTCTTACATAAGCGCCACTCAATATTTAAAGGAGGAGCAAAGCACTATATGGAATAAACCGAGTTAGCAAACATTTTGTATTTTCTCACAACTTCCCTTTCCTTAGCTTGTTTACTGTATTCTTTGCTTATGTCCCTTTTTTTTGGTTGTTTCGTGATTTGGGATTTGTGAAGAAGAGGCTGTAGGCAGCATTTCGCGAATTCGCGTTTTAGCTCCCCCTCCCTTCTCAGAGGGTGTTTTATATTTCCTACCCAGAATTCTCTGTCTGACACAAGTGACTGTTATTTGAAATCGGTAAGCGCCTAAAGCTGGTTTCGGTACCGTTTAGCAGTTTATATTTCGTTATTGGTCACCTTAAGAAAAGTTTCCCGGAGAGCGTCATATAAAGCTCTGAGAAGGGACAGAGCACGATTCGCATCGTCCAATGTCATATTGTATTCTCGTTT